ACCTCATCACGGTTCCCCTCCAGGACGATTCTGCGAGCTCCGGACCATCCCGTGACCCCCTCCCCCAGCCCGGCAATGCTCCTCCCCCTCACCATCACCCAGGAGACTATCCAGGTCAGCCTGTTGTGACCCATCCACATCACATGATGGCACCTCCTCAGCAGCACTACGGCCCCCCGCCGCCCCCTCCCCCAATCAGTCACCCCATGCCGCACCCAGGACAGGGCTCAAACACACCTCACATGGTTTTTAACCAGGCCCCTCCTCCACTGTCATCTGTTCCCCCTCCCATCACCCCGCCTCCCGGACACCTCATTGGTCAGATGCCCCCCTTTATGAACCATCCTCCTCCAGGGCCGCCCCCTCAGCATGGTGGTCCCCCTGTCAGTGCCCCGCCTCCCCACCATTACAACCCCCAGTTTCCCGAGGACAAGAGCACACTCAGCCCACCGTTCAACCAGCCCGGGGGCTTGAGTCCAGGAATGTGGCCGGCGCCCAGGGGTCCTCCTCCTCGAATGCAGGGTCCTCCTCCACAGGGACAGATGCCAGGGCCGCATCACCCCGATCAGGGCCGCTACAGACCGTATTACCAGTAATAACGTGCTTTTTTTTTTCCCCCTGTCAGTGCCCCGCCTCCCCACCATTACAACCCCCAGTTTCCCGAGGACAAGAGCACACTCAGCCCACCATTCAACCAGCCTGGGGGCTTGAGTCCAGGAATGTGGCCGGCACCCCGGGGTCCCCCTCCTCGAATGCAGGGTCCCCCTCCACAGGGACAGATACCGGGGCCACATCACCCCGATCAGGGCCGCTACAGACCGTATTACCAGTAATAACGTGGTTTTGTTTTTGCTAAATAAAGTGATTTAGTATGTAAACCTGGCAGGGATTCGAATGGATATTTTATAGTCTAAAACTATTTACTTTATAGTAAAGATCAGTACTGAATGGTGTGTTAAATCTTGTTGTCGTCAGATATTCAAACATTTACTTTTTAATAATTCAGCCCATACATGCTGCATTTTAGGGGCTTTTGTTGATTGTTGAATGTGTTGTTTCTTGAATGTAATCAAAATTAAATGTACAAATTAAATGTGTTTTATTGCATTCTTTATCTAGTATCTCATCTAGTGTCTTAAATCTTACTTTTTTTATGAATATCTGACAAAAAAGTCTGTCTTAAGTTTCAGTCTAAAGTATTTTTTGAGTGGTTCATAAAGTTTGCCTGGAAAAACAAAAACAAAACAAAAAAAAAAAAAAAATATATATATATATATATATATATATATTAGGGCTGTCAGTTTAATGCGTTAACTTAATTAGTTATGAAAAAATAACACGATTGAAATATTTTAACGCAGTTAACGCACTGGCCCTGCTCCCAGACCTGTACATCATCTTACATTTCATATAGTTGACTGTTGACAAATATGATGCAGGGCAACAACTCCATTAATGCAGTTATGCCCTAAAATTCAAGATATTGGTTAAAAAAATGCCCCTGTATGAGTTTCTGTCTCATATATCATACGATATAAATATGGGACAGAAACTCATACAGGGAGCAGCAGAGAGCAGTATCATGTGAAGTGATGAGTGATGATTTTGTCCCGAATATCACAAGTTTGATTGTGATTTTATACAACAGTTCGGTAAATAAGAAGTTGATATTGTGTTATATTTTAAACACAATATGTTTTTGCTCAATTTTGCAGAGAACAAATGACCTTTAAAGCCATAGCAGAATTGTTTCGTGTCTCCAAGCAACACAGCAGTGTTTAGTTTCTGAATGAATCTGCGTTTTGAACGAATTGTGTGAATCAATGATTCAAAGGCCCATTCATAAACAACAATTTACTTCATTCCAGAATGAATCAGCTGTTTGAACGAATCGAATTAAGACATTTACCGCCACCTGCTGGCAGGTTTAGTTTCTTGTTTAGAGTATAATTTCATAATAATAATAATCATAATAACATTAAAGGAATAGTTCACCCAAAAAAATTAAATTCTCTCATCATTCACTCACCCTCATGTCGTTTCAAACCTTTCTTTTGTGGAACATAAAAGAAGGTATTTTGAAGACTGTTGGTAACAGCCGTTTTAGTAATGACTTTCATTGTATGAACAAAAAATACTGAGATGTTTCTTAAATTATCTTCTTTTATGTTCCATAGTTTATGTTAGGCCGTTGTGGCCTAACTGTTTATGTGTAATACATTTTGTTGAATCAAATAAAATATTTATTTCTAAAGCAACAATTTATAATGTCTACTTGATACTTTCTCATTTGACACAAAAATAGCTTTAAATAATCTTTTGTGGGTATTTTTATAGTCAAATTTATTTTGCGATTAATTAGATTAACACCATGTAATTAATTAGATTGAACATTTTAATCGGCTGATATATATATAATTTATTTTAATATATCATTGGTAGTTATGTCTAAAATGTAGTCTTAATTGGCTGTTTGAAATTTTTGTAAAACCTTTATGTATCTCATTATAATACTTCCCATATTCGCCATCTAAATATACAATTACATTTTTTATATACAAAATAAAAGGCAGGTAATATGTAGTTCTTTTAGTTTTATTCTATTCAATTTGTTTTACAGATGCATTCATTATAAAATCACCAGTATTTACATGCTTGGATTGTTTTGTTGTTTCAAAATATATAAAAATACATAGTGCAGTAAATAACATACATTAATGCATACATAAATTTAATATTGACAAGTAGGTCTGTCCAAAGCACTCCACGGAGAGAGGAACTTGGTTCTGAATTATTCAACTTTACAAAAAAACAAATCTAATCCAACATGAATAAATATACAAATCTAATAAGTAACGTAGGAACTGTGGCATACATTTTTGTTGGGATGGCGTGGACTCCACAGGAAAAGAGCAGACATTTGATTTATCAATCCGAAAAATAAAATAAGTAAATTGAAACACTGAAACTAGCATACTACATTTACTATTGTATCGCGTCACGCCCGTCAAGATTTTGATTGGTTGGCGAAACACCGACTTCAGGAATCCATCCGCAGCCCTGAAAAACGTCTTGAGCGCTTTATACACTAAATAATACGTTACAGTTTCCGCATTTTTACACTATTTTCCTTGTCCCCACACATCAAGGTGGAAACATTTTCAGGACTGCGGAGAATAAAGAACTGGAAGTCACCTGTACAGGTAGACTTTGCTCTTTGAGCAGGAACAAGTGCGGTAGCCTACGATGACCGTCATAACTCATAAGTTATAACGGAAGAATGAAGTAGGACCTCGTTTGTAAGGTAGGAATTGTTTTCATTCATTAGCGATGTCTTGTCTCGTTCAAAACTTAATTGTCTCAATCAGTTACATTTGTTATGCTTCTGCTCGCCCCTTGTGACAGTTTGTCCACTAAACCTCAAACAACACCAATTAATTTACTGTTAGTCCACTAAATCACCAGTAAACATGGTAACAATTAATTCATGTTGCTGTAAATTAAAATAGTGCATTTTTCTCAAAACAGCCACTGGCCAGACTGAAATGTGGGCCTACATAATGTGTTGTGACAGTCTTGAAATCGATATCTGCCCACATTGTTTGGCTGCACTCATAAAACTTTTACCACAACCTTTCCTGCATGATTTAAAGAGTATTTCAGCAGGGGGGTTTAGCCCACAATCTTCTGTTCCTTACACAGTTATACTGTCTCTCTGAATGACTTCGTAGTTTAAGTCTATATCCTGCAAACATCACAACACAGATAGACATAGATCAGCATGGATTACTTAGAACCTTGACAGCTGATGGTTGTTGTAAGTCAAATATGAAATATTAGCACAATATTGAATTAAAATGAATACCTTTTCTAGTTCTCCATGATCTGGATGCGTCTCCAGAATGTGCAACATGGCATCATGTAGTGTGGGGTAAAAGATGGACGTCTTAATCTCGTCATCAAAAAATGAACATTGATGAAGTTTCTCCATGATGTACACTGTAACGAGACCAGAGTTGTTTTAATGAAGACGGTTTGAAATAAAATGGTTAGTAATAAGGCAAATCTGTAGGAGATTGTTTTACCATCACACGAAACTATGTAGACGTCAACCTCGATTCGTAAAAACTCTTTCAGGGTCTATAAGAAAAAAAATAAAGTGTAATTAGGCTAGACCTCAAGGAAACCAGATCCAGTGGAAATATACAGTATGCTGTATCTCATAATAAGCTATTTTACCGCTTTGAGACCCTTGAGAGCAGATATATCGAGGAATGAGACCGCCGAGAAGTCTAGGACCAAACTGTGGATGTTCACAGGAGGGACAGAGATGTTGGCCGGCAGTTCTGTGTTCCAGTTCACCTGGATTGGAATGCCAGAGAAATCAATGGGCTGGTCCAGACCCTCCATGCTGTTGTTGTCTTCTGAAGTATCAGTTGATGGTTCTCTCACCTTAAGGCCTCTCTAGATAAGTAAAGGATAAGGATAGGTTAAATATTGTTGTCACAATTGTGTTTTTTTTTTTAAATAGTAAAGTCACCAAAACTAAAAAACAAGTAAGAGAATTTTATAGTTACCAATTAATGTAAAAAATTATTTAATAATAAAAAGAAAACAAATAAACAAACAATATGCATAGCGCCCTTCATTATCCTGTCCAACTAATCCATAAAAAAGTAATAAATAAATCAAATTAAAAATATATATATTAACCCTTTAACCTATTTTTGAACATAGACGTGAATGTGCACTATCCAAACTTAAAGGGGTCATATGATGCGATTTCAATTTTTCCTTTCTCTTTAGAGTGTTACAAGCTCTTGGTGCATAAAGAAGATCTGTAAAGTTGCAAAGACTAAAGTCTCAAATCCAAAGAGATATTCTTTATAAAAGTTAAGAGTCAACCACGCCCTCCTAAAACGGCTCGTTCTAACACGCCCCCACATGTCGACGTCACGATGTGGGAAGATTTGCATAATGCTGTGGAAAATAATGTGTTTTTTTAACCTTAAACCACATAAACACATTTCATTACACCATATACACAAAATAATGTTCTTTTTAGCAACATCATATGACCCCTTAAAATTTTTGTAATTCGTGAATAAAAATATTGTGTAATATGATTTTGATGTACCATTTCCATGGTAATGCAAGGTCTGATTTTAAAATGGTTTTCAAAGGATGAATTCAAAATTTTAAGCTTTGAATTGATATATAATTTATGATGATTTCTAAAGCGTGATAGGGAAAAGGGCAATGAAGAAAGACTTTTTGTGACAAAGGTCAGAACTCCTGTTATGATGTAGATTTTTGAGGTGCACTCGTCATAAATTAATCTATTACTTTTCCTACATAATTTGTAACAAAAAAACAGTGGTAAAATATCAAGGAGTCTTAGACCTTTCCAACGATATATAGTTTGTCATGATTAGCTTAGGATTTATTTGTAATATAGTGAAGTAAACTTAGGCGTCCCTCTGAAGGGACGGGTGACAGTTAAGAGGTTAAATAAACAAACGTATGGGAAGTGCGATAGTGTAACTCATTATCCTGTCAAATTAATCCATTAAAAAAACATATAAATCATATCAATGGTAAGGACGTACGTCTGAAACCTCCAGTTCCCCATTACGCAACATTTTTCTGATCTTTCGCAGAGCTTTGTTCCTTTTCTTCAACACTTTTAGGGGACTAAAACCCACCTAGAAAAAAATAATTTAGTCTGGAAACATACATATATGTTTATATACACATCTTGAAAATAAAAATAAACTTACTGCTTGGACCAGTTTGTCTCTGAAGAAATCAATATTAGCAAAGAAGATGGGTGAGGGAATTTTGAATATTTTAACTCCATCAGGTTCGTAAATCTAAAATGGAGCAAAATCACATCAAAACAAGATTTATGGGTACTTGTACAAGTGAGAAGAATCTAGAGCAGCGGTTTTCAACACTTTGACTCAAAGGCACCCCATTGTCAAACAAAATGTTCGAGGCCCTTGATATTGGCTCTGGTGTATTAATATTTAGTTACATCAGGATTTTGTTTAAATTAAATGTTTTTAAGTTACCCTCTTGCCTATTTGGAAATTTGCTGAGGCCCCCCTGGTTGAAATCCACTGTTCTAGAGGAAGGAAAAATGTGGTCAGCATTCAGCACTCACAGAGCTGTAGTCTTTGCGATCCCTGTAGATGTCAGTTCCTGTAATATTGGCCAGGAGGGAACAGCGTGGGCTGCAGAATACAAAATATTATCATGCAAGGTCAGTAAAAATTCAACACAGCAATATTCTGGATGAGTTTTGAATTCATTTGTAGGTGTCGTGAATCCAGACTCACAATTGAGTCCTGCAGACCACAGTGAACAATTCTGCCCCGAGACCCACAGCCAACCCCAAATCCAGCCCCAGGAAAAGAGAGGCCAAGAAGGTCACCACCCAGGTCACCTACGAGAAACAGACACATGGACTTGAACTTCTGATCTTGAAGACTCAGCTTTGTTCTAGCTGTATGCATTGTTAATTAAGATTTTAATACTGCTTCTAGATGATCAGATAATCAAAGATCATTCACAAAATAATTGGTGGTAAAGAAAACAGAAACTCACAAAATCAGTTCGGTCATTCTTCCATAAGAACGGCAGCTCTCGGAACTGCATCAGCATGCCTTTCAGATTAACAATGACCAAAGCACCCAGAACAGACTGAAAAAAAGGATAAAACTCATTAGATTGACTCCTACATATTACTAATGTGACTAGTACTGTGACATGGATGGAGTTCAGCTTTAAATGACTTTATGCAGTTTGCATACTATGTATATAAAGACAAAAATTCTCACCCTGGGCAACGGCTCAAGTAGAAATCCTACTGCTACAATCACAATCAGTACCATCATGGCTGAAAGAACTCCAGCTATCTACAAATGTTATAAAACAAACATTAACCATTATTTCTTGTAGGCAGTCAATGGATGGTTTCAGCTCAGAGAATAGTGTGAGTTTTACCTGCGTCTTCCCTCCTGTGCTCTCTTGTATGGCGGTTCTAGAAAGGGCTGTGCTGGCAGCAAATGATCGGAAAGATGCCCCAAACATGTTGCTCACCCCGAAAGCAAGGAGCTCCTGTTACATGCAGGTGAGTGTATAAAACACGTCCTTTTCAGTTTTCAAAATATCAATTGAGATATACATCACACCTCAGAATTTGCATTGTTTGTAGTGAATAGAGCCTCAGCTGACCTGGTTCCCATCAATCGTGTAGTCATGTTTGACGGAGTATATTTTAGCTACTGAGAAAGCCACAGCAAATCCCACTATGGCCATAGGAAAAGCCTCCACTGCACTCTCCTTAATGACTTCCAGATTTGGAGCAGTTGGTGATTCATATCTAAGAAAGAGAGATTTTATATATTAGATTTTGATTTTCATCTAGGAATTGAGGCTTCAATATATAATATAATATAATATAATATAATAATATATTTTAATCTTGAATTAATATACTTTTCAACCCCACTATGTTTTAGTAGGTCTTATATTAAGTATATAAACTGAATGTATAATAAACACATATACATTATATTATTTTATATTATATAGTAACATTATTATTATCACATTAATAATATTAATTATTATAGATATATCTCCTCCCGCTGAATATGCACATTACATCACTTTTTATGTTGTCAGTATTGTAGACATATTTTTTGATTCTTACCCGTCTACCATCTCCCCAACCACAACCACATTAAATCGCTTTTCGAAGTTGAATGCATAAGAGATCCCACAAGCGATAACAGTCTGTTGGGTAGATTTACATGAAGTGGTGAAGTTTGATAAAGAAGTTATATATTTTGTTTTAATGCGGTCATACTCAGTAATTATACCTACCATGATGACTTCTATAGGTATCGGCACAGGTAGTTTCGACTTGAATCTGTCATTGATCTCTTTCACAATAAGCACAAGTGCCATGATCACAATAGATGTCACCAGGTCGGCCACATTCGTGTTAGTGATTTCATTAAAAACATTCTCCAGAGTCTGAAATCAAATACCAAATGTTTGATATATTCACTGAAAAATCATATAGAGCTATGTAATACAATGTCTACAATGCTAGTACATTAAAAAAAAGAAAGAATTTAACTCACATATACAATGGCAAGTGGTCCGTTTATACCAGGAAAGTCCAATCCCAACACAAACCTGAGCTGGGATACCAAAATGTGAACAGCAGCCGCAGTAGTGAATCCTGACACCAGAGTCTCTGACAGATACATGACAATGAAGCCCACCTGCAGCAGCCCCATTATAAGCTGAAAACAGACATTCCACATGGTAAAAATAATATATAATTTTCTTAAAGCCATTTTATATATGATTACATTTATTGTTTATGAGAGTAAATCTAAAGAAATCTGTAATGAACAAGTTCTGCTCATATTTCATGATCCCAAAATCAAAAGAAAATTATAAGATTTTTGTATTAATATTGTATATTATAATAATATAAATAATAGTAGTAGTAGTAATAATAATAATAATAATTTATTATTAATATTGTTGTTGTTGTTACTTTTGTTCTGCTATTTCATGTTTTGGTGTTAAAAAATGTGAATGTGTTTGTTTGTTTGTTTTTTGTACCTGAAATGCTCCCATGACAAAAGTAACTGAGGAAGCAACTAGAACTCTCTGTTGTTCCATGCTCAATCCTTCAAATCCAGTGATGTTAGCTGGCGGCCCGTCATCAGGAACCAGTCGGGTGACAACAGCGCCCACCATTAGACTCAGAATAGGAAAGGCCCCTAAAACACAGTCCAGTTAGAAAGTGCAATGTCATTCACTTGTGCACAAACCATCACTTCTAATTAATTAGCCTTCTGTGATATTGTGTGCAGTGTGCACATATATATTGAAAAAAAGTTGTTGTGTAGAAACAGTTTTCACTAAGAAATTTCTAATAATTTTTACAAATAATAACTAAGTTATGGCATTGAATTGAATATTGAAATAGAAATACTGAAATTTCTTGTGCAGCATACTCCAATAATTGTTTTATTTAAAACTTTGAAAAAAAAAAAACGATGGTGTGCCATGTAAATGTATACATATCACGCACCTACTGACAGGTGTCTGGAGGTTCCCAAAAAGAAGTAGATTATTGCAGGGAAGAATGCAGTGTACAGTCCATATCCCGGTGGTAAAGAGGCCAGCAAAGAGAATGCAAGTCCTGATACAAAATAATCCAGTGAGGTGGTGTACGTATTCCTTTTTAGAATGTATTTCTGTATTACAGAATTTACAAACTCTTCAAAAAATTATTTTAGCCAAACTACGTATGTTAAACATGCTACCTTGTAGCACTGCCACTAGCCCAGTGCTGATGCCTGAAACAATGTCACCTAGCAGCCATTCTTTGATGTTGTAGTTCTTCATCCATCCAATGATCGGTAGAAGGGAAAG